CTCTGGCACCTGAATACGATAACGTTTTGGAACTTGTAAAAATGCAGTACAAAAATAAAACATAATGGCGTCACAATCAGAATTACTTCGAACATTCTTCTGGCCATAAACGGTTCTACATTTTTTAACATTTATTTATAAGCTACCCGTTTCTGTAGCGAGGACATGACTTTATACTTTAAATTTTGAGGATAAGTGACTCTGGATCTGGAGAACACGTTTTCTATTAGTAACACTATTTTTTCCTCTCAGAACAGCGTTACTTTAGAGATTAGTAATGGTGCTTTGCACAATACTGAAGAATTATTCTAAGTGTTCTGTAGAAGATGGCTCCGTATGGCCTGGTGGTTAGGGCTCTCGACTCGGATTCTGAGGTTCGAATCCCCCGTCCCACCAAACCATGCTCGCCCCTTTCAGCCGCGGGGGCGTTATAATGTGACGGTCAATCCCATTATTCGTTGGTAAAAAAGTAGCCAAAAAGTTGGCGGTGGGTGGTGATGACTAGCTGCCTTCCCTCTAGTCTTACACTGCTAAATTAGGGACGGCTAGCGCAGATAGCCCTTGTGTAGCTTTGCGCGAAGTTCAAAACAAACAAACAAACTGTAGAAGATTATTAATTAAATATATTTTTGTTTAGTTGAAAGGAAATTATAACATGAAAAGCACTGCAACTATCAATTACTGAATAGAAATTACATACTTATAATAAATATCGTAAAATAAGTCTTAAAATGGTGATAACCAGGGAGCCGTAGAACATTATGTGATATATATGTATAGGGAGAAAGATCAGACAAAAATGAACATTAACGTGAAATAGTTTTATTTTGATGCTTGATCTTTCTTCTATTTAATCTTAGTAGAACTTAGTAAGAAATAAGGAAAATTTGGTTATAAGCTCAGTAAGGAGTATTTTAGGGTCGTAATAGAAGGATAATATTGTTCGAAATCAAGTTACATATGTTAAAGAAGAAAGGTCATCCGTTTTATCGTATAGAATCAAATTTTCCTAGAGTCAAATCTAAATGTTATCTGTGTGACAATACGATCAAATAAAAAATGTTACTATTTATTACTTACTTTAAACGTTATTAGATAGCTAAAAATCGTGATTTAACAACGTTATATACGTATAGACTTGCATTGTTTGGTGAATGCAGATCAATAACAACTGAGTGAAATATTAGATTACTCACATATCTTATGGTAATTAAATAAAAGTAATACACCATACCACTATTATTGCAAAAACAAAGATATTTTGCTACATGATGGTGGTATACACAAACATGACCGAAACATAATAAATAATTGTGGTTCAAATAATGTATTATTCTTAATAAATGAGTGGATGACAGGCAGTTTTCGTTAGGACGGCACACTACTTTTTAAGGCAACAACAAAAAAAAAACTCTCTGGATCAATCTATTTGTTTATTTTCGAATATTTTTAATCCTTCAAAACATTATATCACGCGTTGCTAATTAACACAATTTATAAATATAATCATAGTTTCCAAAATTACAAAGATTATACTTACCAGGTGGCATAAGCTTCAAAACTAGAAGAGGATAAGCAATATTCGTACATCCAGCCTCACTACTACACACAGCCTTACAAACCTCAGGGTCAGAGCAACCTATCTTATCTGTACAAAGACAGCGTTTTCAAGCCCCTATTTCAACAATCTTATTCCACAAAGGTGCTGCATCTGAACCAGGATGTCCAGGATTTTCTTTTCTTTGTAAGTCTAACATGCACGCTTTTTTGTGCATTTCTATATGTGTGCAGCCTTAGCAGTCAATAGTAAAGGTTTTATAGTGTTTTTTGAATTGAATCTTTACAGTTTAAGGTGCTTTTTGCCCGAGCGTTCTATTATAGTTTTGTGCAGTTCCTTGCGATACCTATTATGAACCACTAACGTAGTTAATGATATTAAAACTATTGTACTAACAATATTGTAATTTTTTTTATATAACATATGTATTATGGAAGTCAGCAGAGAGAGAATGGTATGCTTCTGATACAGCTCTATGCTCGAGACTTTTGTAATGAAAACTACAGGGGCTATTGTCAAGATGCACAGCCGTCAGATAGAGTGAGACAGGATAGAGCGGCATGGACTGTAACGATGTGGTGAGGCTCTAAAATCGTTCTAATAAAACGTACTCAACCTCTCTAAATACATATTAGTGACTTTTTTCTAACTTGACTCTGAATTAAGTATCCTTATAAATAACTGCATCTTTGAGTAATATAAAAATTTGAAAACCTAACAAAGTATAGGATTCATACCTGTAAATAGAACTCTGGAAGCCATACCAGGAAATACAATCAAGAACAGAGGAAGAAACTTGAGATATCCGGCAAGAATACAGCCTGCCTTGGCATGAGACAAGTTTTTAGCCGAAAGCGCCCTCTGTACGATAACCTAGAGTGAAAGACATATAAGTATTTGTGAATTTGTGTTTAAATGTAATATTAATTATGAATGTGCTTTTAAAGTAGTCTTGTTTTCATGGATATACTAACTTGAATACGCTTGCATTGCTGCCATCATACGTTTATTGTAAAGTCAGCATTTAATAAGAGAAGTTCGTGTGAAATATATAAAAGATACTGATATTCTGTGTTTTGTGTGTTGATTTTAAATTATTTCGTGTATTAGATAAAACACTTAACTTGAGTTAATTTTCCAGGCTGTGCACAAAGTAACCAATTACTGTGTTATATTGCAATGTAAAAAATGAAAGGAAAACAAAACAAAAAGCAGAGAAACAGTAGTTCGTACGATCAAGACATGGCATATTATTTCATGGCTTTATCTTTTAATTTTTTTATTATATGTAAAACCTCCTGCATGCTTTTCCAATTTTCTTTTAATTTAATACAGATAAAATATAATCAAAGTACTAATATTTTTCGCTTTTTTAATTTTCTTGAATCCAGTTTATTCTTATTTTATTTATCTTGAAAATATTACCACAATATGATATTAAAAATAGGTCTATAATAAATTTAATTCGATAAATATCGAAAATGTGCTTCCAAAAAATAAAAAGATTAAACATTTTTATTAAGGCATATAAACAAAAAAGAATTATTAAAACACAATATGTTATTTTTATCTTTGAAATGCATATTTCTACTACAGATTCAGTTTTTGGTTAATTGATATTGGTGTTTTTAGCCTAAACGGCATCTTTTACAACACAGAAGGTAACTTAACAGCCTTAAGATTTAGAAAAAAACAATTCCACATTCAGAACTGCTGACCAGAGAAGTGAATCAGTCAGCAGCATCCTCTGCCTATGTAAATACTATTAACCAAATAGCGGGGTTGACTTCTACATTTATAACACCCCCACAGCTGAACCGAAAAGTTCGTACCTTGGACCTACTGTTTGTACTGCATGCAGCCCAACATGTAAACTGATAAGCCATATACGGCTTTTTGGCTCAGAAAGAAATTTTTTTTTCATCTGTTCTTATACCTGTAAACCTATAAAAATTGCTTTAAAGATTAAAATGTAAAATATATATATCGTGTCTGTTTTAATGTGATTCAATAATAAATATATCCTTGAGCACTGTATCTTTTAGTAATTATGTGCTTATTATCTTATTTTTTATACTATACGTTTTGCAGCCTTACTTGGTCCGTGCACCAACACCAAACGGCTGAAATGGTTAGTCCAAAGGTCATTCCTGTCCAAGGGAGTTCAGGGTCGTCAGCAGATCGTAATAAATGCATATAATTATCTGGAACACTGCTACAAGATTGGTTGTCCGAGTTGTAACCAACTGCTGAATCATTCGGCATTTTAGTTCCAAACTGTTCTAGAAGCTCGTGGTAACCTCCAACCTTGATAAAACCTAAATATTGATACGAGTACAAATAAACAAATGTGGTATATATCACATTATAATATATATATATTATTTTTATGCAAGTGAAGATAAATGTTAATTATACATTATTATTTACTTGTGTAATTTTTTTCAAAGAATTGTCAATGGTTAACTAAAGAATATCAACACTACGCTAGAATTAAAAAAGTAAGCTTAACTTACGTTAGGTTCAAAACTCGCTTTAAAATGTTGTGTTAAGTGTTATTTCCGTAATCCATCTTTGGAAACTATAACTCTTTATTGTTATGTATTACAAACATGATTAAAGTCAAGTGACTTACTGATGACCATTAAAGCAAAGGCTCCGATAATAATTAATACAGTTTGTACCAGATCAGTCCACATGACAGCTGTCAGTCCCCCTACAAAATATGGAAACATAAGATTTATTAGGTTTATGCCAGAAAAGAACACACAATAAGTTAGTTTAAGTAATTATAATGAAATCATGATATTTTTGATCTCTTAGTAAAATCAACATTCAAAGAGCAATTATTATACTGTCAGGTAATACAATGAATCTCCTATAAATCAGAGAGAATAAAATAAGTTTAATTAATTAACATGAATAATGATGGTTTCACGCTTAAGCTTTATTGCGTTAACTTCTGTTTTCTGAATAAAACCAGTAAAAGGACTGAGTAATTATATTGTTTTTCGAATAAAACCCTCCAGTGGCTCAGCGGTATGTCTGTGGACTTACAACGCTAAAAACCGGGTTTCGATATTCGTGGTGGACACGTGCTTAACAATAAACAAACAAACAAGTTTTCGCACACTATCAGTGCTGACTTAAGCTTTCAGAGAGATGTAATAATTCGCCAGGAGCTAAAACATTTTGAACATTCTTCTTCATAATATATTTTATAAATATATTCATTAAAGTATAAGTTTTTCTTTATTTTATATTATTTCTTTACGTTGAAACATATATAATAAGCGATAATAATAATATCCTTACTTCTCATTGAAATTCAACGCTTTTTCAAGTTCGCCTAAAACACGAATATATATCAAAACACTTACTGAAAACTTTAAACAGGTAAGAGATTGGTGTCTTAAAAATATCAGAGTAATCTAACCTGCTACAGTAAAGATAGCTGCCACGGCTAAAAGAACAATAACGGATAAATAGAGATTCCAATCCAAGGACTGTTCAATAAAGATAGCACCTGCATAAAGATCTCCTGACGAAAGAGAATGAAACTTTACTTACAACCAGCAACCTATTTCATAAAATGGAAAATTAAAAAAAAACTTCTTTTCTGTTGATTTTTGTAATAATAAATGTATTGTTAAAGCACAGTTAACATGAAATCGATTTCCCTATACAAATTAGAATTTTAAAGTTACGTAATATGCAATAAAAATAATTATATATCTCGTTTACTTTTCACAATTTCTATGAAAATTAAGTTATCATTACTACCTCCAGTTCTATACGCAGTGGCGGACTGGGACCCTTTGGGGGCACTGGAAAAGGCTTGTTAGGGGCACTCCATTGGTAACCTAATAATTTGTGAGAAGTATATCAAATTGTACTACATATTGTACTTACAAGTTATTATACTACGTGTAGGGAATCCATAATTTGAGAAGAAATATAACTCTTGTAAGAATAATTTTACGTTTATTTCAAAGACAGCTCTTAATTAGCTATTAATTTTAAATAGTTAACACTTATGATATTAGCATGTTTAGTGGTATATGAAACTCTTGTCTAAAAGTATAGTTCCTTACAGAGATGTGGTGTGCACAAAAATTAAAATACGTGTATAATTTATATATATATTAGTATCTTCTCGTTCTATACGTGCATGAAAATCTGAATTATATACACCAGCAGCCGTTTGAGTTCATCAGATGATTTTGAAAGCATGTCTATGTTCTGACTGTTTGGTATCTCAACTAGAATACTGGCTTCAGTGCTTATGAGCATGATGGCTTCGAGATGCTCAGGTGCCAACAAGCTTCTCAGTCTTGTTTTTATTATCTTTAGCATTGAGAAATATCTCTTACAGTGAACTTGAGTGATGGAAAGTGTCAGAAGAAAGTGATACACTTTATGCAAATTGTCATAGGCTTTTGAATGAAGCAAGTAGTTCTCAAGCAACCGAAAAGCACACTTTGAACACCATTTGCATGTCTGGAAAGTTTTGCACGAAGTAACGCCCTCGTGTTCTACTCTGTTGTCAGTCTAAGATGCATCAGCGGTGTCACCTCCCTCAACCAATACCTCTTCCAAGGCAGCGTACTGGTATTCTAAACATTGATTTAACTTGAGATACACACTTGAAAAATGTTCCAGTTCATAACTCACGTTTGCAAGATCTAGATGTGACATGAGCTGACCTTACCTTATTGAGTGATCCGGCAAACAGGGCGTTTTCTTTATGTTAGCATACAGCTGACCATGTTCTGCATATCGTCTTGTCAGACTTCCTATTGAAAGTTGAAAGTATCAATCCTTCATGTAATCATAGGTGATGTAGTTGAATCACTTTCTGTAGATTTTGCTTCATCATACTTAATTTTTCGCTTTCTTTTCTTCGGACAGACAATCCACCTGACACCTTGACTTCACATTCCTCAACATCTAACAGATCTCGCTTATCAATGTTGCACAAAATTTCGTTCATTTGTCTGACAGATTCGTCTGCTGTAGTTACAATGTTGTCCCTCAGTGTTTTAATTTGAACTGTACACTCTTATATTTGCCTTCAAGCCTGAATTAAATCAAAGCCACTTATTTTAATGTATTCTGATACAAGTGTGATATGATGGAAAAAAGTATGTAAACTTGTGAATGGTCAGGATTGTTATATACCTCAGAAAGCCCTCCAACGTCCCTCTTACCTCTGTTTTTGTGGCAGCTTAATGTGACTTTGAATGCTGCAATACAATCCATACACTTGATCAGATGTGGTAAAATAACTTGGAAGATGTCTGCAGATGTCCCGAACACAGCTGATAATGCGCGTGATTTTCCTGACCAACGTGTTACACCTATCATCTTAATTCTTTTAAATTTGTCTGCCCCTAACTTGCTCTCAGTTTCCTTTTTTCCATATATCCATTCGCTTGTAGAAATATGTGGCTTTCTCAACAGACTGAATAATAATATTGCTGCAACGCATAACTTTGTCGGCTTTATCACAACTAAATCGAGTACAGATACATAGCACCACACATTCACGTTTGTATCCGCAGTAGAAGAGAGCTTTACCAGAAAGCCATTGTACTGCCCATGACAAGCTGCTGCTCTATCTGTGCTGTTTGAGACACTTGTTGATATCAAAGTTGAAATGTCCAAATATACTTTTTTTAACTAAATCAAACATTCCTTGTCCACTATCACTGTGGCCGTGGGAGGGAACGAGAGCTAGCAGCCCTTCATCAAACATTCCTTGTCCACTATCACTGTGGCCGTGGGAGGGAACGAGAGCTAGCAGCCCTTCATCAAACATTCCTTGTCCACTATCACTGTGGCGTGGGAGGGAACGAGAGCTAGCAGCCCTTCAATTACTTTCCCACTAAGCACATACAGAACTATCTTAGTTAGCACACTGGTCAGTTGTAGTAATGTCTTGTGTGGTATTAATCTGTACTGAGAATATATCAGCAATTCTAACTACATCTGATATAACATTCTGGATCATGTTCTTAGTTATAACAAGCAGCTTGTTGACTATTGTTTTACCGACGAAAGTAACTGAAGCACCTCTCCCAGTAGCTTCAGACGTTTTGCGTTCTTTGGAGTTAGTAATTACTTTGTTCAAATGCTTTGAGAGTGGCATGTCATACTGATTCAGAAGTTTTATCAGTTCCAAAAAAACACTGTCATTTATTTCATCTTTTTTTCCAGCTCGTGTGCATTTTTACCTCTGCGTCTTCTGAATGGAAGATTAATGTTTCCAATATCCTTGATAACAGCAATAATTCTATCAACAGTTTTACAGTTCTCCTGAACTTCAAGTTTTCATTTATTCGGCATATCATGTACATAAGACAAGATGTTTCCACCTTTTATATTCAGCACATGCACATCACAATTTTGCATGTGCTCCTTAGATTCTTGATGTTCCCCTACACGTTGATGAACATGGCGCCAGTCACTGCATCCATTCACAAATGAAGACCTGGTATTACTAATTGAAAAGCATAAGCAAATAATGCAGAAAAGCTTCTGTCGCTTATTTGAAAAAGAGAGTCATTGACTCTTAATTTTGTTACCACCAACACATCCAGGTCGAATGGAATATTTTCAAGTGATTAAACTGGATGTTGAGCAAAAACTTTGCTGTACAAATCGTGACTTGATGGCTTAGAAAATTTCACACCATCAGAGATTCCACTTTCACGAGAATTGTCTGTTCCTGTCTCTGTAACGTATTTCTCACTGCTGTATTGAATTTCCTTGTGCGTTACTGTAACATCATCATCATCTTCGCGTAGTTTCAAGAGTTTCTACATGGTCAGTTGTTTGTGTAACCTGTTGATTATTTTAAAATGTTCATGTGGGAAGTGATTTTATAGTTCTCTCTATCAAATAAATGAATAGATGTGATAGCGTCCTTGTATCTTGTAAAAATCAAATTTGTGACATTATCATGTAGGAATAATTTACAGATCATTCTTATAACAGTAATCAGACTTATTATACTTAGCAAATTTCGATGAATGTCACTAGCAACCTTTGCTGACGTTAGGCTAAACTCTCATGCAACTAGGCATAAAGTCTGAAATGTTTTAAAACTACTGATCAGAAGTGCGCACGCCACAGAAATTAATTTATTTTATAAATGTCTAAGGCTCGGCATGGCCAGGTGGATAAGGCGCTCGACTCGCAATCTGAGGGTCGTGGTTTCGAATCCCCGTCACACCAAACATGCTTGCCCTTTCAGCCGTGGGGGCGTTATAATGTGACGATCAATCCCACTGTTCGTTGGTAAAAGAGTAGCCCAAGAGTTGGCGGTGGGTGGTGATGACTAGCTGCCTTCCCTCTAGTCTTACACTGCTAAATTAGGGACGGCTAGCGCAGATAGCCCTCGTGTAGCTTTGCACGAAATTCAAAACAAACAAACAATAAATGTCTAAACGACATTTATCATGATATTATTTTAATTGTTGAAAAATATATTATTGTACATAATACATGAACATTTGTAAAATACTCATATTAAAAAAATAAATTATACAGACACAAAAGTCTGTTTTGTGCTTGTTGATTTCCTCAGGAGATGGTTTCGAAATTTTTAATATTATGACAGATCAACCGCAAAGACTCTCTAATATATTGAGCTTGTCATATGAAGGTCTGTTAAGCATTCTACTGGCTAACGATAATCTATAAAATTTTCACTTGAAATACAAAGCTAGAGCTATGCCGTTCACTCTTATTATCACTAGCAACATTTGACAAATATTGGTAATTTTTCGCCGGTGAAATTCGCCAGCAAAATTTTGATATACAACAAGCCCATTAATCGTAATATAATAGTTGTAAGTTCACTTTATTATAATGCATTATCATGTCTTAAACAACATGAATACCTACAAGTTTCACACAATACTGATTCTTATTAGAATTGTAGCTGACAATTTTAATATTGTTGTGTGTCTGCTCGTTTGTTAATTTCCCGCAAAAAGATTCTTTCCGAAAAACTTCAGCGATACACGTCCTTTCTTATTTAAAATTAGTTTATTTTTTCTCGTTACAAACTTTGTAATACACTTAATTTCCACAGTCACTTTAACTTAAACATACGCTATTATTCACAACGATTCACGCACTTTACTTAGGGTCACTACCGCTCGCTTGACTCAATGATCTGTCTTCTATCTCTGTATCTATGTCATCCTATCTCGCTTTATTTGCCGGGCTTATATACTAAAAACAGGGCGCCTGGAATGCACTCGGGCCTTCAT